AAGAAAAATAAGAAGAAAAAAGAATAGAATTTGCCATTTGAAAATGAGATGGCGAGAGGAATTGCATTCTTACTCCGTGCTTAAATGTGAAAAAATGAGCGACGGAAGCACTTTTTAGTCTGTTAATTCGAATTCAACCTCTAAGTGTTGATGGTGTCGGAGAGCCAATTCATGACCCCTTGCCGCTTAGCAAATTAATGCGATACTCAACAAAACCGGAAAACAGGGTGACAATAGAATATATATGCAATACCTAAAGCTGCTTCAAAGTTTTGCTCCAATATAAAAAGATAGCAGCCCAAAACCCATGATGCGTTCAGKTTCCCAGTAAGGATTTTGCACCTTTGCATTACATAGCATCATTCATCTTTAAGTCTCCATACTAATAAGTACACACCGTTCCTCATAGGCCTGACTATTTACATTTGCAATTATCTCCATTTTCAGCCAGGACTGAGCTCAATTAATAGTGTGATAAGTATTCAATAACAACATATGTGATCCATTTTGAGTACAGCGTCCAAGCGAGGCCTCTGAAACTGTGCAAAGAGTTACGTATTTCACTTCATAAAAACTCGTCGCGAGATACCAAAACAAGGATGAAACACCAACATCATATGTGTGACCATTGCAGCTAGAGTGAACATTTCCCCATCCATTGTAAGTACAGCTTCCAAGAAAGGCCTCTGAACCTGTGCATTGCATGCGGTTTAACCATACTTTACCCGTTCCTCGTCCAAGGTACCAAGTTCCTACAGCTTTATTAAAGCCAAGTTGACGGCATGCGACCTTGGCATCAGGCATATCCCAGCGATTATACGCATGACACACTGTTCCCCACTGAACTACCTTTTGGCTGCTCAAGGCTCAATAGTAAATAGCGTCCAAATTCTTTTCTAAGAAGTAACTAAGATTATGCTTCGTTGAATACTATTATACAGGATCTCTTTTCTTCATAGTTGATCGCCTTGTTATGAAGTTCTTCTAWTCCGAGGTAATCCAAGGACGAAGAAAATATTTGTCGAGTCGTGACAAAGGCCCGTGTACTACACTTTAAGGTCATAGCAAGGCTATATTGCTCTTAAAGCAATGATGTTTCGGCTATTTTGCTTCTCGTGCGTTATTTTTTGTTTCAGGAGTGTGCTTAAATATTTTTGAATGCTGAGAAACTTAGTTGTGAGTCAATATTGTTTTGTGTGGTGTAAATAATTATTTTTATAGTATTCAAAATGATCGATTGTTTGAATTTGATAATATGCTATAATTAGAATGCAATGAAAGTGCACGAAACAACGCCAGCATCATATGTGTGACGGTTGCAGTCAGAGCGAACATTTCCCCATCCATTGTGAGTACAGCTTCCAAGTGAGAACTCTGAACCTGTGCATCGCATGTAGTTTAACCATACTTTACCCGTTCCTCGTCCATCCCACGAAAATCCCACAGTTTTGGTAAAACCAAGTTGTCGACATGCAACCTTGGCATCTGGCATATCCCAGTAATGAGAATAACCACCTTGACAAACTGTTCCCCATTCTCTAATTACTACGCTTCGATTCACTTGTAATAAAACACGTTGCTACAACAAATTTGTCCATATGCAATCTTAGCTAAACATTCATAGGGCCAGTTCTACCGGTCATAATGATAATATTTCTTCATTGAGCCACCTGTACGCAGCTGTTAGAATGAATGTTTTTATTATTATAGCTTTTAGAAACTTTTAGAAACGAATTATCCAAGTTTATAGGACAAAACCTTTTTGAACAATACACTACAAACTAATTGACGAATATGCACCAGTTTTGTTTACCAAAATCGCTAGTATTTAGATGGCTTGAGCACCAAGTGTAATCACAGTATATTCTAACTTAAACATACTAGCTACGGCCTTTTTAATGTATACAGTGTAAAATAATGCGCCGCATGCCACCGGCATCATCTTGGTGATGAGTGCACGTTTACCCATCCACTATGAGTACAGCTTCCAAGTGATGACTCTGAACCTGAACATACCATGTTTTTGAGCCATACTTTACCCTTTCCTCGTCCACTGTACCAAGATCCCACAGCTTTAGTAAAACTAAGTTGACGGCATGCGACCTTCGTATCATTCATACCCCAGCCACCCAAGTGACACACAGCTCAGTATGTCGTAAAATCATTGACCAATTCGTAATTAAACATTTGTTGTCTGTTTTGAAAAAATATTAATTCGCAGGAAGTTATAGATGCAGGCTTTGCTTTAGTCAAGTAATTTTAAAAAATACGTCTGCTTAGAATAGAGCATGAAAAATCGTCCTGCAAAATATATTGTCTATTAGGCGATTTAGTGTCGAAATAGAAGTTTCCTAATGCTGTCTGAGATCTCTGATCAATACTGATTCATTTCAACTCCACCAAATATATATATGAAGATAAACTATTAAGACTTGAAAAACTTTACTTACGAATAGGAACAAAATGAAATTCCCTGTTAACCACATTATTATAGTAATATTTCATTCTCTGATCCAACAGAGTGGATTGCTTTTAGACAACGGGTTTGATTAAGGTAAACTTCAAGGACAAWAGCAAACATGCCATGTGGGACATAATTGACGAACAAATATTAACTTTACAAGAAATGTTGTGCTGTGACTTGTTTAGATATATTTAAGTTTCACTTTCATCTACTATTTTAGCTCATTGTGAGATACGCTCTCCGTCTACATCGAAAATGCTTTCCGGCGTAGCGCAGTGTAAAGCTGTACTGCTTGCAGTATCTATAACAGCAAGTCTTTTTATGCTTTGTGCGGCAAAAGGTACATCTGATGGGCAAAAACAAAGTGATGGAAGAATAGCTTTCGATCCAAMAAATGCAACACCAACAACCATGGCTGACATGATGAAATTGTTGATGGAGCATGAAAGAAGGTAAAGAAAAAAAGAATAAACGACGAAATAGAAAAACACTATAAGGATAACGAATGTAGAAGGCTCAAAAAAAAAACTAAGATTGAAATAATCAAGATGCTGTGATGAGAAATGATGAGAATATTGACTGGATCGGCGCCCAATAAAGTGTGGTTTCATTTCATTTTATTTTTACGGAATCTATCAAATTGAATCAAAGCGAGCATTCCTACAAAGAGGTCAGTAAACGCTACGACAATAATTAAAAGCGTATTTTATCATCTTATATCTGAAGTAAACATTTGGTAAAATCAAGTTCCCTACACGCAACCTTTGCATCATTCATTTCCCAGTACCCATCGTTATAATCACATACTGTCCCCCATAGAAAATTTTCAGTAAAATCGAAAACAATAACTGTTATTACACTCGTGCCTGCAATGAGGTATTCGTTTGTTTTTAGAATCATACAAGAGGGTCGATCATACATATCGTGTCGATAGAATGCTTGGTATCTCATTTGCATATCATTTGCATGCATCCATAATATCTGCTATTTATATTATGACATATTATTTTTTACACACTAATTGATACRACCACCAGAATCCCACGTGTGGCTGTTGCAGCTAGAGTCAACATTCCCCCATCCATTGTGAGAACAGCTTCCAAGTGAGGCCTCTGAGCCTGAGCATCCCATGTCATTCAACCATATCTTACCCGTCCCTCGTCCATACCGTGAAGGTCCTACAGTTTTGGTAAAGCCAAGTTGACGGCATGCCACTTTTGCATCATTCATGCGCCAGTAACCACCGTATTCAACCACTCTTTTCCATTGTAGTCAAACACATCAACACAGAAGTCCAGAAAGTGAACAAATAGTGCATACATCCTGTCAAACCATAATCATCATACTGGTTATACCTCATTTTCCACTATAAAGCCATCATATTCATATCAGTTTATGTTATGAATAATGCAGGTTCCCTATGCACAAGTCATGCCTGGTCTTTATATCATATCATTTATGTCATTCTTCATATCTCACTATACGAAAAGTGATTTATGTTTATAAATGTTATAACCAATTATCAATTATCTTTTATAACATTCAACACAAATTACGGGTTCAAATCCCGTTGAAGACTCAGAATTTCTTCTGAATCTTTTAATTTGCAGCTGCATAAGTTGCTTGATATATTGCGAGGATCAGTTCAATTTGTATAGGAAATCGCAGGATCTAGAATACAATTAAAAATTGGGATTTAATTGTACTCCTCTTGTCCAATCAGAATCGAGTAATTTTGTAGTGTATTATAAGTTACATTACAACCGCAGTACCAATATATAGTTCATATATATTCTCATACACAAATTACTATGACGACAAAGTGGTCCAATTTAATTGTACATTTTACAACACTTGTCTACCAGACTCAATCCTTCAACTTACAGCATTCCAAATATATGGTGTGATACATGAATATATGGAATCAAAATTAACCGCATTATTTTGGAGTAAAGCATACCATCACGTCAATACAAAGATTGTTCGCGATCCTTTAGACTTTACAAAACCAGCAATATAATAGTTTAGGTTCTGCTAACCTATAACTTAATATCATGATAAGTACACGAAACCAACATCATATGTGTGACCATTGCAGTCAGAGTAAACGTTTCCCCATCMATTGTGAGTGCAGCTTCCAAGGGAGGACTCTGAGCCTGAACATCCCATTTTGTACAGCCATATCTTACCCGTTCCTCGTCCCCAAAGCGAAGGTCCTACAGTTTTGGTAAAACCAAGCTGACGGCAAGCAACCTTAGCAGTTTTAAGATCATCTAAGCCCCAGCTAGTTTCACACACTGTTCCCTGTGGTACATGAATTTTCCCTAAGCTTAAGAATTGTAGTAGCAACCGACGCTTCGTCACTGCTTTGTAACCTCTATTCTAATAAGCAAACCTCAAGCAGGTCGATAAGAAAGCAAAAGTTAGATAGTCGTCTGCTTTCTCCTACTCCTGTGGGAAAAGAAAGAAAGAACGAACGAACAAAAKCAGTATACTCGAGTGACCATTGGAAATTTACTAACTTGTACATTTTTAGGTAGAGATGGGCGTGATGGTAAAGATGTGTTACCAGGTCCAAAAGGTATGTATGGTAATTGTTAATTAGGAACTTAAAAGAATCGAAACAATTGAAGCAACTCATATTTATACGTAAAAATATTTAGCTAATATAACTTTTTTATTGCTAGGTCCACCGGGTTTGAAAGGAGAGATAGGACATCAAGGTGTGAGAGGTCCACCAGGACCCAAGAGTGGTGGAGTACAGTACGTACGATGGGGAAGAAGTGCATGCCCTTCAAATGCTACTCTTGTTAAGATACGAGTAATAGCCTGGTTTTCTCCAAACTAATATAACATAGTCATTTTCAGCAATTGCATTCCAGGCCGTGTTGGAGGGGAACGATATTCTCACAAAGGCGGTGCTTCTGATTACGTTTGCCTTCCTGAGACTCCCAAATATGGAAGGTACAAAGATGGCCTTCAGTCGCTCGGTGGATACATGTATGGTGCAGAATACGAAGTTTCCTTTGAGCTTTTCACCAAAAGCGGCCTTTATGACCATGAAGTACCTTGTGCTGTGTGTTCTGTTCAAACACCAAGTGCTAAGTTGATGATCCCTGCAACATACGAGTGTCCCGCGGGATGGAAACGGGAATATCACGGGTATCTGATGACTGAGCATTCCAAACACATACATCAAACTGAGTTTATCTGCGTAGATCAAGACGCAGAATTTGTTTCTGGGACTAAGCCTGATTTAGACGGTGCAGTGTTGTATCCTGTGGAAGGAAGATGTGGTTCTCTACCATGTCTTCCATATGTTGAGGGACGAGAACTGACATGCGTAGTGTGCACCAAGTAAAAAGAAACAAAAAGAATCCTTCCTTATCGATGTGACAGAAAGTCATAATGAAAATATAAGAAAAATAATGCAAAGTTCCCAATGCAGGCAAATATAATAAATGAAACCATAGAAAATTTTGAGACTTAATGCATGGTTCTTTTGCCTTTTATTTTTTTATCCATAATCTTGGACAAAAAGAGTTGAGAATAATACCACAATGTTGGTTCCAGTGGGTACTGCTACTTCCTCTCGCCAGAACTAACATTTTGGGGGAGATGGGGGTCGTTGTAAGGGGACTTTTAAGTCACATTTAAAAATGTGTTTTATATCAATATATCCTCACAAAGTTTACAATTCTCAACTATTTTGTCCAAGATTGCTAGACTAATAATTATGATATCGGTGATTATGTATTTAGCCAAGACCTCGCTTTCCTTCCTTTCTATATAATTACTATTATAATAATTATGATATGTCTAAGATAAGAAGCCACAAACAGGTCAAAACCAAAACAGCACTCCCCGCGCACAGTGATCTGAACCATAAAACGTTTCCGATCATAATGAAATTAATAGTATTTCACATGTTTTTTACAGAGTTTTTTCAGTTTTTATAGAAGACTGCAAGTTTAGAAATTAATGTTCCTATCGTTTAAATTGCCATTTAGTTGTTTTTAATCAGTTCTGTCATTGGTTTATGTATGATCGATTCAAGCTAATACTCCATCTTTCTTGTTGTATATTCATTAATACGATGCAGGAGCGGATCCACTGCAGTATTTTGGCTGGGGGTATCGAAGTGCAAATATTTATGATATCAGTGATTTTGTATCTATCCAAGACCTTTCTTTCTATATTCATACTATCATAATGTGGTCATTCCATACACAGAATCCACCAATTTTTGAATCAAAGCGAGTATTCTTGCTTAGAGGTTGATAAACATAAGGTCATAACCCCGGCATAACGCATAACGGACAACACGAATCCAACATCCCATTGGTGATTGTTGCACCCAGAGCCAACATTTCCCCATCCACTGTGAGAACAGCTTCTAAGTGAGGCCTCTTAGCCTGAACATCCCATGCMGTCCAGCCATATCTTACCCGTCCCTAGTCCATACAACAAAGCTCCTACAGCTTTGGTAAAACCAAGCTGACGACAAGCAACCTTGGCTTCATTCATACGCCAGTAACCATTATAATAACATACTGTTCCCCATCGACCACTGCAATCAAAGTCAACGTACGTACAGCATTGCAATTGCAAATAAATGATAGGGTACTTACATGGTAACCCCATTATTATAAGTAAACCATCMATTATTAACCAATACAAAGATTACTGTCGATCCAATACACTTCTCAAYACCATAAATACAACACCGTAGAGTTAGTTATAAATTAGTATCAGAATAAGAACACGACGCCAACATCATAATTGTTACTACTGCAGAAAGAGTGAACATTTCCCAATCCGTTGTGAGTACAGATTCCAAGCGAAGACTCTGAGCCTGAACATCTCATGTTCCACAAACATACTTTTCCCGTCCCTTGCCCCTCCTACGAATAGCCAACAGTTTTGGTAAAACCATTCATCCATGACCAAGTGATAAGGATAATCATCACAAATTGTTCTCCGTTGTCTTGCTAACAACAAAGTTGCCAAAAATATATTACCAATTATGGTAATTCCGTCTGTTGAGATAAAAATACACAATAGTACAGCAACATCATATATGTGACYGTTGCAACTAGAATAAACATTTCCCCAACCATCATGAGAACAGCTTCCAAGTGAGGACTCTGAACCTGTGCATCGCATTTGGTCTAACCATACTTTACCGGTTCCTCGTCCAAAGTACCAGTATCCTACAGTTTTGGTAAAGCCAAGTTGTCGGCATGCGACCTTCGCATCTCTCATATCCCATTCCCAGTTACCATCACACACTGTTCCCCATTGACCACTGTGGTAGACTTGTATAATGCCACCGACTCCTAAATTTGTGATTAGAAAATCTTTACTCTGAAGAAGCTGAAATTATATTCATAATGGATAAATGGTTTACTTTATCGACCCCATGACTGCGTTTTATTATTTGATTTTAGACTTATGTTGTCTATCTTAGGGAAGAAATTATTAGCTTACTATTAGCTTATGTCAAAAGATATGCAACTTTACACGTCCGCTTAAGTCACAGCTACCATCGAAGACTGTTTCTTATTGTTGTCTTACACAAACTGTGGCATAGCTTTGATTTGTTGTATATTACTGCAATTTCCACTTGAGCACGCCGCGCGCAAACTTTGTTGACTTTGAAGCATTTACTAATTAGCGTGTTTGAAGTGTCCGACAGTCTGTCTTGGTCGGCCAAACGATGTCCGATCGTTAAGTGAAGGTTGGCGTTTGATCGTAGGAWCGATGTTGTTGTATCAGCTGAAGATGGAGTATTCTCCATAAACGTTTGTTAAATTCTATTTGCATGTAGATATTATCGATGGCCTGTTCGATTATTCCTACCCAAGACTCATAAGAAAATTTCCAGCCACTGTCCAAGTATTGACGTGTTTTCTCCACAGTCTCCCAAAGCGTCAAGAGCATCGTAAATATCTCACAGTGATATGGAACCTTTTTGTTTCTTTTTAAAACCTCGATCAGCTCCACATCTTTTAATAAGGGATTACTTGGGTGCCCGTCAAAATGAGAGCATATTATTTTCACTTCTTCCATTTTTTAGTCACGATCGTCACCAGCACTTACGTTTTTCGAAATATATATATACATACGATGCTAGTTATAATTAAATTATCTGATTAATTGATATCTTAATTACACAACTCGACACCTACATCATACGTGTGACGATTACAGTAAGAGTCACATTTCCCCATCCATTGTAAGTACAGCTTCTTAGTGAGGACTCTGAGCCTGAACAATACATGCCATTCAGCCATACTTTACCCGACCCTCGTCCGCGGTACGAATATCCAACTGTTTTGGTAAAACCCAGTTGCCTACATGCGACCTTAGCAGTATTCAGATCATTTGAGCTCCAAATGCCATCGCAGACAGTTCCCCATTGGCCATTACTACGGTTTAGGCATAATCACTGGTAATTGTCTTTAAGGTTAACTTTAAATTGCTGCATATGGTTGCCCTAAGAAACAGTGATGAACGACCAAACAGCATATGGTGAACGTTAAGGAGGTAAACGTGATAGTGCGAGGANTTTAAATTGCTGCATATGGTTGCCCTAAGAAACAGTGATGAACGACCAAACAGCATATGGTGAACGTTAAGGAGGTAAACGTGATAGTGCGAGGACGAAAAAAAGAAGAAAAAAGAGTAGAATTTGCCATTTGAAAATGAGATGGCGAGAGAATTGCATTCTTACTCCGTGCTTAAATCACAAAAAATGAGCGACGGAAGCACTTTTTAGTCTGTTATTTCGAATTCAACCTCTAAGTGTTGATGGTGTCGGAGAGCCAAATCATGACCCCTTGCCGCTTAACAAATTAATGCGATACTCAACAAAACTAGAAAACAGGGTGACAATAGAATATATATGCAAAAACTAAAGCTCCTTCAGAGTTTTGCTCTAATATAAAAAGATAGTACGCCCAAAACCCATGATGCGTTCAGTTCCCAGTAAGGATTTTGTACCTAAGATTATGTGTCGTTGAATACTATTAAACAAGATATATTTCTCTTCATAGTTGAACGCCTTGTTATGACGTTCTTCTAATACGAGGTAATCCAAGGACGAAGAAAATATTTATCGAGTCGTGACAAATGACCGTGTATTTCACTTTAAGGTCATTTCAAGGCTATATTGCTCTTAAAGCAATGATGTTTCGGCTATTTTGCTTCTCGTGCGTTATTTTTTGTTCCAGGAGTGTGCTTAATTATATTAGAATGCTGAGAAACTTAGTTGTGAGTCAATATTGTTTTGTGTGGTGTAAATATTTCTTTTTATAGTATTCAAAATGATCAACTGTTTGAATTTGATAATAAGCTATATTTAATCACAATGCATTTAAAGTGCACTACACAACGCCAGCATCATATGTGTGACCATTGCAGCTAGAGTAAACATTTCCCCATCCACTGTGAGTACAGCTTCCAAGTGAGGACTCTGAACCTGTGCATCGCATGTAGTCTAACCATACTTTACCCGTTCCTCGTCCATAGACCCAATATCCTACAGTTTTGGTAAAACCAAGTTGTCGACATGCAACCTTGGCATCATTCATGTCCCAGCTATTATGACAYACTGTTCCCCTTGTAGAATTTTGATTGCACGTTTACTGCGACGTCTGAGGTTATGTAAAATTGATCCATTGATACCATTGTTGATGATGCAATAATACACACAAGCATCATATATGTGACGGTTGCACTCAGAGTAAACATTTCCCCATCCATTATGAGTACAACTTCCAAGTGAGGCCTCTGAGCCTGAACATCTCATGTTGTTGAGCCATACTTTACCCGTCCCTCGTCCATAGCGCAAATATCCTACAGTTTTGGTAAAACTAAGTTGTCGACATGCAACTTTGGCATCATTCATATCAAAGCTCCAATTGCTATCACATACTGTTCCCCATTATCACATTTGCGTAAACCCGACTACAATTAAGATTAGAAATGAAATTATCTCTAAACTATTGATTAATGCAGATACCAACATCCCACGTGTGGATGTCAACGCTTGCCCATCCACTGTTCGGACAGCTTCCAAGTGGGGCCTCTAACGCTGTAAATCGCAGGCTGTTCATTCATATTTTACCCGTTCCTCGTCCATAGTACAAAGGTCCCATAGTTTTGATAAAACCTAGTTGTCTGCATGCCACCTTTGCGTCATTCATACGCCAGTAACCACCATATTCATACACTGTTCCCCATTTACCATTACATCCAGAAAGTGACACATCAACAAATAAATTTAGAATATTGACAAATCTAAGGAACCAAATATGATAGCATAGTGTCTTAAGAAGTATTAGACACAAAAATAAA